ATCCACGGAGAGTGGAGATTATACCCTTTGACAGTCAATATGATTTGGAGTGTATTTGGCAGGGCGGAGGTGGTTCTCTTCGCATCAGCGGAAAACACTCACTGCCCGCTGTTTTATTCACTGACACACTCTCCCCTGGGAGTGGATGCACTAGCTCATAGCTGGCCGAAAGTATGCAAGTATGCTTTTCCTCCAGTGAAACTTCTGCCTCCTGTGCTTTGCAAAATCAGAGAGGAAAGGGAATCTGTTCTGTTAGTGGCACCGAAATGGCCCAATCAGCCGTGGTTCCCAGAACTGGTGGAGATGCTGGTATTTGCTATCTCTGAGGCTAGGGCTCCTTCCACTAGACGTCTTTACACACATAAATGGAGAGTTTTCACAAATTGGTGCGGGTCGCGGGGCGAAGAGCCATTCAACTACCCAATACCAATAATTCTTGCCTTCCTTCAAGAGCAAAAAAAATTAAAAAAATTAAAAAAAAACCCGTTCGAGCCCATACAATCAGCGAGCTGTATTGTCAGTTGACGACTCGTGTATTGAGATCGGGCCAGGTGATTGCAGACTCAACTTAAAGCCTAGGAAGGCTTTTGACGAATAAATCAAAAGTAGCCACTGCCACTTAATTCGAATCGCTAGTGTCTGTGAATATTAAAATGCAAAAAGACGGTTTAAATATGAATCCTGCATGTTCCGCTTGCCTCTGTATGTATGAATGGCGGAAACACGGTTTTGTTTACTACACAAATACTGAAGCACGTGTGACGCTCGCGGTGATTTCCGGACTCTGCGTCTCATTATATGACGGCATGAACACAAAAACTTAATCCCCAGAGCTGCTGTAGAGCTGCTGTGAGAGTCACTTCGTGAGAATTTTACCATTTCATTTGAGAAAACTAGCATCATCATACTGTATACACACAGAAACTTCATGGCAACCTGTCAAAATAAAAGTACGGTTTAACATGTAACAGAAATATATTACTCATGTATTACTTTTGTAAAGTATGATGTACATCTTTAAATATTAAATTTTCTATCAAATTTAAATAAAACAATTAAATGCTAAAAATAAATATTACAACTAGATTAATCACGTAATTGTAGAAACAAATTATACAATTATTAGCCTATAAAAAAATGTTTTAAAGGAATATTCACACAATTGTTCCATGTATTAATTTCAACATTAATTTTTTTGGTTTGTTTATTTAAACTATTATTATTATTATAAAATTATAATATAATAATATATAACTATAAAATTATTATTATTTAATTTTTGGTTTGTTTGCCAAAAAATAAAAGGGTTTGTTCAAAATTTTGAAATTGAGACTTTTGGACTTATTTTTTCACTGAAATAAATGTTTTTGTAATTACACAGAGAGTAAAGTACCGAAATTCAGGTACCGATACCAGTACCGTACCAGTTAAAATGTGAACGGTACCCAACCCTAATCACAACATCATCATCACCGACATTATCACAATCATCATTACTATCACTGAATCAAATGCATCACTAATCACCATCACAACATCATCACCAACACTATCACAATCATCATTACTATCATCAAATCAAATGCATCATTATCATCACATCACTAAAACTATCATAATCACCACTAAATCATCACATCACCTCCATCATAATCATCATCATGGTCATCACACCATTATCATCACCCCCACAACATCATGACATCAACATCATCACCATCATCATCATGACCAATATACCGTTATCAACACAACACCATCAACATTCCCACAATACCATCACATTATCTCCCCATCATAGTCACCACTGTCATCACCATTACATTACTATTATGAAATCACAATCATCATCACCTTTGAGAGAGCAGGGGACGGTGATCTTGATGAAGCTAGCAGGATTGTCTTCTAGAGACAATGCCTCCACCAGACAGTAAGCTTCAGCAGACCAGCTCAGATAGATGCCCTTCCTCCAATAGATCCTGTTTGGTCTCAATGCTTTTTCTGCAGAGTACACACACATTCGAAACCACCTCAATTCTTATTCATTTGACAGACCCAAGCAACGTACAGTGCATTCAAGCAATAATTTTATAATACATAGTATTAGTATGTTTGTACCTTGGGAATCAAACCTATGTTCGTGCCATGGCAAGTGCAATGTTCAACTAGTTACAAGAATTTTATTTATGCTGACTTCCAGTGTTTGTGTTGTGTTACCTTTGCTGTAGAGCAGGAAAGCAGACACTTCCAGCAGACGGCTGATCTGTCTGGACCAGTAGCCCATGGGGAAGTATGGCATCTCATAAAGCCGAACAATCACCTCTGAATTCTCACAGTGAGGAAGCTCAATCACCGGCCTTTGATCTGACAGGCTGGGGACATATCAAACATTTCAAATTACCACCATACAACACTCTCTATCATTTTAATTTAAAAAGCGGTCCTATCACTACCTGCTAGGTATAAGTAACTGGTCATCTCTGAAGGGAAGAGCTATTTGAAACTTTTCCAATAGTTTGAAGTACTGAGTCAGATGATCCTTTGGGAAACAGCGACTTTTGTTCAGAAACTTTTCTACAGTGGTTCGCTGCACCACTCCTCTAGTGCTGTCCCACTGACCAGTGCTCCTCAGAGTGAGCGTCTGTCAATCAGCACAACAGATGAGACATTACTGTTATGAATGAATCACAAGGAGGAGCAAGGTGTGTGTGTGTGTGAGTGTTTAACCTGTGAGATGATGTTTGAAAGCCATTGTGGGTCAATGAAGTACAAATCCTTTAGCTGAAGCACTGGATCATCAAAGTGCAGCAGGACACCTAGAGACAAACACAGACAGAAGGTCTGTTTACAAGGTTAAAACAATAACTCCAATATGTAAAAAGACAACTGAAAACTAGCAAAAATGCATAACCAGTTATGCATGGTGAAAACTTTCCTTCACAGGACAACACATTGAAATCTGATGCTTACATAAAAATCAACCCTTAGGAACATGCAAGTGCCCAAAACTGAAGAAACAACCAAATATTGGACATAAACAGCGAGAAGACATCAGAAAGGGATTCAGGAGTGAAACAACTCTCACCAGCCTCGCTGAGGAAGTGGATAGCGTGGGGTAACTCTCCCTCCTCTAACTGCAGCTGTGTTTCCTGTATGATCTCCAGCAGTCTGCTGTGTCTGAGCACTGGGAAATCAGTGGGTACATGTGACCTCTCCTGTAAAACTCTCCTCTCCAACTCCACATAACAGTCTGGAATCAGCTGCCCCATTACCGGCTGACCCTGGATCTGCCAATGCCACACACACAATTCATTAAATAAATACAATGCAATGAAAACCAGTTTGAAGGACATGATCACCCTTGTTAAAAAGAAGTACACTTTGGTATACTTTAATAAGAATAACTATGTAAATAACAATCTTTATAAATGCAAACTAAATGTAATGTTTTTTGATTGTTTTTTTTGGCAAATCCCCCCCTCACTGTAGCTCTCCAATCAAATCTCAAATTAAATCACCATGGCAGGTTTGACATCTGCACAAAAAAATCACCTTGAACCCAATCAGCTCTCTATACATGGCTTTGCGTAACCTGCTGATAGACTCCGACTCCTCACAGGCACATAGTATGTGGTTCTCTTTGATCACTGGAAAGCACGGTTGAGACAGCAGCTCCTCTCGCAGCTTCCGAACACACTCCTGTTGGTGGTGCTCTTCACACACATCTGCATGAGTTCCAACCACAATCACAGGAGACTGTCCAGCTACAGCCTTAGAAAAACAGACATGCATGTTTCTGAAACATTTCATTTAGATATAGACTCATTTGTAATATTTCTCAAAGTTAAAGACAGTTTGGACATCAAAATACTGTCATGTCCAACTGTATGTTTTGGTAACATTATGTAGTATACATAGTATATCCAACTTTATTTGCATACATACTGTATAGTAGATTAATTTAGTGATCAAATTTAATACCTTTAGGGAAATATGTTAATATTTTGTAATGATCATTTAAATCTGACTAATTTGTAAATTGTTTGTCATAAATCAACATCTCAAGAAAATGTTACGGGGTTTCAAATCACAATATGACTTCCTGTTACGAAACTGGACATTGATTTCATACATGTCCACTCTAAAGGACACCAGGACTTAAAACATGTTTATTACACATTTTGGGAGACACAACAAATAAATAAATAGGGAAATAAATTATATATTAATATTCAGATCAATTATTAGACATTATTATGAAAATCTTGCCAATTATTACTCCCATTATTACACTTCTTTTTTCATTACATGTTGCCCCAAAAACACATTAATATGCAAATTAGATACAGTATATATAATGGAAAAAAAACTGTTTATGGCCATTTTACACACATATTGCATAAAGCAAAATGGTATATCAAATCATTCTGTTATAACTTTCATAACACAGTTGAGAATCATCTTTATACAAAGTTTGGTATAAAAAATAAAAATTGATTGGTGATTTAAAAAAAGGCAATTTTAAGTCTTATTTTGACGTAACAAAGTGATAATATATCGAAGTGTGTGAGTTGTTTACTTACTTTTTTAAATGAGTCTTCCATTAGAACCCTATTGTTCATTCAGACTGATTCGAACACGCATGAACACAAGAGCGAAGGGATTTATCGCATGAACCAATCACAGCCGAACATAACCAGTCATATCCAATCATATCGCAATGGAGGCATTGCCTCCTCTCATGTGATTTTCCCCCATTCATCTCAATAACCCCCCACCAAACTCACAGCACACTTTAGTTGGTCTGTTAAAACTCAATGGGCTCAGGGGAGGCGAGAGAGACGCGGACGCTGTTACTTTACCTGCTGGTGTCGCTGTTGGACAATGTTTCTTTAGAAAAACAAGTGATTTATACACTTTTTAATGTTATATTTTGTTATATTGGCATTGTTTTATTTTTTTAATTCGAATTTTTTTTCTCATCCAATATTTTGAAGAGACACTGCCTCCCTTGCCTACTTGGAGGAAACGCTCCTGATGTGTATATATATATATCCAACTTTATCCACATACATACAGTATACTCACATAGTATTTACTATATAGCAAATCTCAACTGCATGATTGCTTGTATTATCCAAATCTATACTATATTATCGTCCAGCTCTAATCTTCTAAATGTGACTATAAAGGCTTGAAGATATCAAGGTATTTTTAACATTAACATGATGATTTCCTGTAAAGCTGCTTTAAAACAATGTATGTTGTGAAACGCGCTTTACAAATAAATTTGACTTGATGTGACTTACATTTTAGATTATGCTGCAGTTGTTAAAAAGTTGTACTGCAACAAGACCTAACATGTAAACATGCGAAAAGTGTGTTGTAAATGCATTCTGTGCTTGCTGGAAGGAGCTAAATGTTAAACTTACTTTAATGTTAAAGAGCCAGGGTTTGATGGCATCTATCTCACTGGGTCCTTTACTCAGGTCATACAGCACTAGATAGAGCGCCCTGGAGCTCATAAAGTGAGGGTGAAATCCACTGCACTCTTCACCACCTACACACCGACAGAAAGAGAAAAACCCGCTATTTCCTACTGACATTGTTTTCATTTTTGGTATGTTGCTAGTATCGTGAAGATGCTTACCCGAGAACTCCCAAACATTCAGCAGCATGTTCCTCTTGTCTTTGTTTCTGATGGCCCAGTCTCTGACGCTGACGCCGACGGTGTGCTGATCAGATCGCCACTGACAGCGTTTCAGCTTCATCAGCTGATGAATCAAAGAACTTTTCCCGCTACATGGGCTGCCGACCACAATGAGTTTCATGCGGTAATACGGCACAGCTTTCTTCAGACGCTGCTGCAAGAACCTGTAATAACCACAGCGTTCACATTCAGACTTGAATTGGTTTGACAAGGTATTTGCAATTGAAACAGGATATTTGGGCGGGGCATATTAACAGGTTCCTCTCTTTTTTTAATATTCAGTAACTTTTCTCAAAACTTTAGATTCTAGAAAAACACATGCAGACAGATTTAGACCTGATGATGTCTTTGGTTTTGTTCCCAATGTGTTTGAGGTCCATCTGGAGCTGCAGACCATCTAGAGGTAGATCCCATAAATGAACCAACTTCCCCATCTCATCAGGTAAAGAGCGCAAACCTTCATTCTGACTGAAATCTAGAGACGTCAGGTCCTCCAACATACCAATCTGAGGAGGGATCTGAAGCACAAAAGAAGAAAACCCAAGCTTCTCAACATTTTCTAACAATTATAGGCACAAAGACAGACCAAAAGTGTTCAGCTGAATCAGAGTATGATATGAATCGTACCTCAGTGAGTTTGTTGGAGCTCAAATGAAGTTTTTCCAGTCTGGCCCACTTGTACACCGGGCCACTCAGGTCGAGCACAGAGATGTGATTATGACTGAACATCAGCTCTCTTAGGTTTACACTGACCCACAAAGCCGGTCCCGGCAGAACACTAATACTGTTATTCCTCATGTCCACCGAACGCAAACTAACCAGACAAAGAGACAGGTGAGGGAGAGGGTTCAAAACAGGTTCAAAACAAGTCAAGCTTTATTAACAGCATTTATTAATTATACAATTATTAAGACTTTAGGAAGTCTCATGTTAGTATGTACAGTATAAAGTCACGGTTACAGTCGATACAGCATGTATTTTAATGTGTATTCTGGTGGAATGACTTGCCACACAAACTTCCACTGTAAGTGCATTACTGCAGACTAATGTTTGTACAAACTTATGGATGAGTTCAAACTATTTTCAAAAGCACATAACCGATGCTGTTGATAAAGTTATATTGAAATAGGTTCATTTGAGACACACACACACACACAAAATAAAAAGCACTTACTTTGGCAAGCTGATGATTATTTCAGGAACACTTGTGAAATTGTTCTGTGATAGTTTAACAGTGGTTATTTTTGAAGGAAGGTGTGACAATGAACCTGCATGAAAACAAGAAATGATAGAAATTCTGTACAACAGAGACCAATTTTACAGAATTGTCCAACTTAGTTTTCGTGAAACGCTTTTAAAAAACCTCTGTAATGACATATTTCTGATTGAAACTGAATATTCAGATAGAAAATAAGTAGTGGAGAACTTGATATTATCCCACGTGAGCTGAATGGATGGTGAAAAGTAGGCACCCAATACCATTTTGTGGCGGCTTCTATTAAGGCTGTAACTCTATGTGTGTTATATTAACTGTCACTGCTTGGCGCTCTTTTTTCGTTATCTTTTTTGGTACTTTAAAATCTTTTAGTGATCTCCTCCCCCTAAGTGGGCAGTGTCAAGTGTCATTACAAAATGTATTACGGTATTTTACGATCAAAACTTTTTATAATCTTGACAAAATGCATTTCGTTGTAAAGGTCTGAGTCTCAAGATTCCGTATTTGGTGATAGAAGTAATATTGACAGAGAAATTTAGACATTTGTGACAGAAAAATTCATAAAAAAAAAAAAAAAAATCAGTGGAGTTTGGGTGTCACCCGGTGGCTGTCTGTTGGTATAACACCCTAAATAAAATCTCAGAGGAACCTCAATTTTTTTTATATCAAGTTCAAATTTGGAACATAACTTATTTAGACATAAGGCTTTAATTTTATAGCAATTTTAGAGTAAAACCTGTTATGAAAAATATTTATTTTATAAATAAAAAAAAATTAGTACAGCACATTTTCTTTACAGTAAATTTAAACTTCTATAACTTTTTTATACTTTCATATTTTGAAATGATTTCACTTCTGCAATAATTTCCTGATTGTCTTCTTTAAAAAGAGGCTGGTATTCAAAAGCGTTTATATGAATTATAACAATTTAAGTTTGGATAGTGCACTTTGACGTCTTGCTTGCAGCAGCAGCAATAATCTACAAATACAGCAATGACCAACAGCAGCAGCAATTCCGCCAAGACCAAATACATTAACATTGTCATATCCATCACCATGCTAAAATCTCCCGAGAGTTCTCATGATTGAACTGGCATTAAATCACTGTGTAAACTATTGTAAAGATTTTAGAAAGGCTGTATTATTTACAACAGTAGCTTGAAACTTTGCTTTTCTTAAAACTAAAACTATTAAAAATTATTTTGCTAACTGAAAAAAGCTCAAATAATTTTAAAAAATTAATTAATGCTACATTAGGGCTGCACGATAAATCGCATGCGATATTTAATGCGCATCTTGTC